GGGTTTCACCTATGTGATTGTGTATGTTACACAGGATTAATCTCATCGCCTCAAGATGATTTTTTTTTTTGAACATTGTTCTTTACCTGAATTTTTCATTTTGGTTCGTGCTCTCTAGATTCTCTCAGTGTCCTGTCGTCTCTCATGTAACCTCATCGTTTGTTTGTTTGTTTGTTTGTTTGTTTTTTGTTGTTTGTTTTGTTGGATTTTATCGATTCATATTGATTGTCCGGCATTGTTGTGGTTCAATATACTACAAAAACTCTTACGTGTGGTGAAAAAAATATTTATTGACTGCATTGAGGATGTTGACCTTCGATTGCCTCCCGCTGTGTTGATTGTTTTTGAAGTGAAACGGACGTAGCTGCTGCTATCTTGTCTTGTAGTGATGATAACCATAACAATAATAAGTTAACAAGCGCTCATTTCGAAACAAGATTGAATGCGTATTTGTTTCGTTGTTAAGGAACGTCATTCAACCAACGAACAGAATTTTTGTTGTTTTCTTCAATTCACTCGTTTAGAATGGTCTGATCAAGAGACAAGCNAAATCGTCCAAAAATAAAGGAGAAATCATACAGTTAGCATAAGAGTGGTTACGGTTGGAGGCATCTAGCACATCTCGTACATAGTTCATCATGCGTTCATGATTGATAGTGACTGACAGTGTTTTCATAAACATGTAAAATATTTTTGTTGATCTTGTTACATGTATATGTATATTTATACATACAATAACTTCGAAGTTATCACGTTTATTTTCGCAAATAATTGAATGTCTTTTTCGCATAAAATGTGAAATAATTTCATTATACAAATAATGAAGTGATATCCGCTGACTGGTTTTAATTTATTTTGTGTGCATATCAAAGATTATAAGTTGGAGAACATTGCCATAATCTCATGAAGTATTCCTTCCGTTGAAATGACCAAATACAGACTGATACAGTTATGAGATGTCCATTCAAACTGGTGATTTTCGAAAGCGATTCGTCCATCATGATCTGCTCAATTATCAATGAAATTGGCATTACAATTAGAAATTCGTGCGAAAACTAGAAGCCCAAAGGTAGTTATCTAGCGTAGCAATTCAATTGTCTCAGGTTTGTTCCATGTTCAGTTCAGTAATAAAGATTTGATTCTGTCAACACTGTTCGTCGCAATTATTCTTGGTCATTTGTACAGTCTCGATTTGGACGTTGTATTCCAATTGAGTATAGCATTTTGTCGTAGGTAAACATAAAATTACTACAATGACAAGGCAACTTTTAAAGGTGAAGTTGCGTCAGTTAATCGCACATTTTGTAGCATTATNTAAATGCTTTATTTCCGAACACGCTCATTACGCAAGTACGAAAATCATCGCATCATTCGATCACAACAAACAGACGTAAAGGCTTAGCAAGTAAATTGCAGCGATGTGTTTTCGGCTCTGAAATTAGCGCGTAGCATGACGTTAGATAAAGTCGGGGTTGTTCGGAATTTCTGTAATTCTTTCAGATTCTTTCAGAAAAAAGATTTTTGTTTTCGTCAAAATATATCTATCGGCAATCCTCATGATGATGTAGTTGTTCATATGTGATGATGCTTTTTTGTGCAAATTGGTTTACTGCACAACGTGAGATCTCGATGATAAACAGTTTTTTAGACGAATTCCTTTTCGTATTTGTGTTTGTTTGTTTGCGCAAACAATCAATGAAAAGTGCATTTGAAATGAATCAACGGTGAACGAAATTCGAAAAGAGAAATAATATCCATCGGGTACCGTTTGTTCTACTTTCATATGGAACACAGCTTGAAAGTGAAATTGTACTGTTGCACTGCAGGTTTTAAGTTGATAACTGATTCGAAATGAATCGTGAATAAATGGTGAAAAGTTGCCATTCGCAGAAGAA